TGGCCTGGGAGCAGGGCCCAGGAAAGATGCTGGTCTTGGGCAGCTGGTGTCTGTGCCACCCAGAGATGCAAAGGGAGATGTGGGCGGGAAGAGGCCCCAAGAGCTCCTGGGGACTGCAGGGAGGAACTGGGTTGGTCTGGATGGCTGCTGGGCTGTGCAGCCCAGGGAAGCAGAGGGAGGTGAGCCCCCCCCCCTTTTTTTAAATGTGAGTGTATTGCTTGCAGGTATGTAAGTGCATTGATGTTGTGCAATGCCAGTTCAGAGGTAGAAGAGGGCATGGGACCCCCTGGAACCAGAGTTGGTCGTTAGCTGCCATGTGGTGCTAGGAATCAAACCCGAGTCCTCTGCAAGAACAGCCAGTGCTCTTAACCCCTGAGCCATTTCTCCAGCCTGTTAGGTTTTTTTTTTTTTTTTTTAAGTGCTTTCCTAGCCAGGAGTGGTGGCACATGCCTTTAATCCCAGCAGAGCAGAGTGGGCAGAGGCAGGCTGATCTCTGAGTTCAGGGCCAGCCTTATCTCCATAGTGAATTCCAGGCTGGCTGGGGCTACAAAGGGACCTGTCTCAAAAAAAAAAAAAAAAAGTGCTTTCCTAACTTCTTGCCAGGACAGGCCTGTTAGCCTGCTTTCTTCAAATGCATCTCAGCACTCCATACGCTGTTTCTTTTGTCCAAGTGAACCAGTGGAGGTCGATGCCGTTTCTTTTTTGTATTCTAAAACTAAATTTACAGGAATGGCACGAAAATAGAGCACAGAGGACATCTGAGCACTCTACCCAGACCTACTGTTACATTTTACCAACATGCTTGTACTTTGCATGCCATGCATGTATACTGTGTCTCTCTGAGGTGCAGTGTGCTTAAACCTCCTGGTGTGATGCCTCTTTGGCTTACCTCGTCAAAGTGTTCAAGCAGCCTGTGGGAAGATGCTTTATGATGAGGCAAGGATCCTACTCTTTATCAAAATTCCAGCCCTATACTTATCCTTCATTGATGATTCTTGCTTGAATCAAGTCTTTATCACGGTGTTTACAAAGTCATTTATCTACACAAGCCCTCCCCTCCATGTTTATCAGGGAAGCAGGGATTTCTTAAAAAGTGTATTTTTGGTTAGATTTGGGACCAGGAACCCATCAAATCACTTAAGCTGATCTTTCCTGCACATCTGTAGATGCCCAAGGTAGCAGAGAAAGGAAGATCCATGTAACAAAGGAGGCCAGAACAAGTGACCAAATGACAAGCTATTGAACTGCCATGTCCAGGACAGTCACTGGCTGGCTCCATGTGAACACTTGAAATGAAATGTAGCTCCAACACGACATGTGCTACAAGTGTAAAATACACACTAGATTTTAAAAGACACAATTTTTTGTTTGTTTTTTGTTTTTCTTAGACAGGGTCTCCCTATAGCTCCAGCTGGCCTGGAACTCAGTATGTAGACCAGGCTGGCCTCAAACTCCCAGAGATCCCCCTGCCCCTGCCTCCCGAGTGCTGGGATTAAAGGCATGGACCAGAATGCCCAGCTGACACAGTCTTTACAAATTGGACAGTCATATGTTTTCTGTCAGAAGAAATGGTAACACGTAACATAGGGGGTGCATTAAACTTTTGTTTCTTTGATTTCTTTTTTCTTTTTTTTTTAGTGGTGGTGGACCCAGCTCAGCCTGGTTTCAAACATAGGAAGAAACTAAGGATGACCTTGAACTCTTGATCCTCCTGTCTCCACCTTTCCAAGTGTTGGGTTTATAGGTGTGTGTCATCACCTGGCTGGTTTTTATTTTTAAATTAATTTTCTTTTTGAGACAGGATTTCTTGTTATGTGTCCCAGGCTGGCCTTGAGTTTGTGATATTCCTACCCTACCTATACCTCCAGAGTGCTGGGATTATAGGCACACATCATATGCAAACTCTTGTTGATGCTTTGTGTAAGTAGTTTCATTTAAAACAATTTTTAGGTTAGCATATCAAACGATGAATTTTATCATAGCATCTTCATTCATGTGTCATAGTTTGTCTAGGTCAATTTTTTTTTTTTCCTGTTCTGAGGCTCAAACACAGGGCAGTGTGCATGTTAGATCAGTACCCAGACTGAGCTACATTCCCAGCTATTATATTTTTGGAGACAGGGTCTCAGTACATAGCCCTAGTGCTGGGATTACAAGTGTGTGACATTACATCGTACTTTTAAAACTATTTCAATTCCCAAAAGGCAGCCCCCAAGCATACCAAAGAACAATACTGGAAGATTAAAACATGACCCACCCCAAGAGAACTTTCAGGTTAGAAATTTGTATCCTAGCACTGTGATTAGAAAAACAAAACAAAACATAGCTAGTCGTGGTGGCACACCCAGCACTTGGGAAGCAGAGGCAGGTGGATCTCTGTGAGTCTGAGGCAAGCCTAGTCTACATAGTGAGTTCCAGGCCAGCTAGGACTACAAAAAGACTAGAAAAAAAGAAACATAAACACTGCTGATGGTTAAGGACCAAAACTAGCCAATATACTTTCTAATGAGTGTAGCAAGTCACCACAGATTGTGGTTTTTAGAAAGCTATTTGTGGATTTTGGGTTCAGTGATACTGTGGGCTTTCATTTTTAAGTTAAATATATATAAAAAAAAGCTTGCTGGGCATGGTGGCACATGCCTTTTATCTGAGCACTCTGTAGGAAGAGGCAGATGGATCTCTCTACAAGTTCAAGGTCAGTTGGTCTGCATAGGAGTTCCAGGCCATCTGGGGTACAGGGAGGCCCTGTCTCAAAAAAAAGGCAAAAGCTTTCTGGGTGTGGTGATGCACTTCTGTAATCTCAGCACTTAGGAGATGGACACAGGAGGATCAAGAGTTCAAGGCCATCTTAGCTACTCAGCAAGTTTGAGGCTAGACTGGGCTACCCGAGACCATTTGTTTTTTAAGACAAAAAACAAACAAAACCCCCCAAAACAAAAAATCCCCAATCCCAATAAATTTTAAAAGTTAATGAACATCAGGACTAAGATTATTCTACTCAGGAGAGGATTAGTGTGTACATGTCCCAGAAAAGAAATCTTAGAGAACACAGGGCTCCATGTGAAGTTCTACTTCTCATGAGATGACAGCTCAATGATGGAACGAGCCTTTCCCTTTCTGTAAGACAGCAGCAGTTGCATTTCTAATACTTCTGAGTTCTGCAGAAAAATTTATGAGAACAAAGTAAAGTCATCTAAGAATGTGGGACTTCATATAAGTATTTTCATATCGAAGTCTTTCCATACAAGGCTTTTAAATGCTACTGTGCATAAAAGCTAATTTATTGTAAAACAATTAAGATACCTACCTTAAATTTTGTTTGTAGAAGGCTGATACTTTGTAATATGGAACTGAAGTCTGGGATTGGCTGCCATATACTTTGATCAACTTATACACAAAACAGCTGTGCACTGAGACAGTCAAGTATTCATAGAAATTCCATGAAGATGCCATTTATTTTGGAAACACTTTGTTATGCTATTTTCTAAGACTATCAAAGTCAACTTAAAACTACTCATAAGCACCATTCCAACAATATAATGTGCAAGAACAAATTCTGACTTCACTTGGTTCCTTTAAAATTTTCACTTTAAACAGCTGATTCAGAGTATGTGAATCCTTGGGTAAAAGCATTTGTTCAGTTTCTTTTTTGTAGGCTCTAGAACACAACATGAATGGATATTCAAAGTTTAAGGACCTCATTATTGATTATACCCACATTTCTTACTGTTAAGATTTAGTTTAGTGGTCCCAGTCATTTGTAAAAACTGAGGAAAAGTGAGGTGTGTGAAAGCTTATGTGTAATTAATTTCTCATGTGTTCTTATGAGAACTACAAAGTCTAGTACAGTACGGGCTATGGCTTAGTGCTTCCCCCTGTGGAGTAGATCTATTTAGTATGAATTCTCTGGTGTTTGGTAAGAGAGGAGCTATGTGTAAAGGCCTTGCCACAGTCCTTGCACTCATACGGCTTCTCTCCTGTGTGGGTCCTCCGGTGCTGAGTGAGATGGGCGCTCTGCCTGAAGGCCTTCCCACAATCCTGACATTCATAGGGCTTTTCCCCAGTGTGTGTCCTTCCATGCTGGCTGAGTGATGAGCTACGACTGAAGGATTTCCCACATTCGTTGCATACATGGGGTTTTTCCTTGATGTGAATCCTCTGGTGTTCTACGAGAAGGGTACTCTGGCTGAAGGCACTACCACACTCACTGCATTCATAGCGCTTCTCTCCTGTGTGGATCTTCTGGTGCTGAATGAGGGCAGCATGCTGGCTGAAAGCTTTGCCACACTCACTGCATTCACAGGGCTTTTCCCCAGTATGGATTCGCTGATGTTTTGTTAGAGATGAGCTGTTATTAAAGGCTTTGCCACAGTCACTGCATTCATAAGGCTTCTCCCCTGTGTGGATTCTCTGGTGCTGAGTGAGGTGGGTGCTCTGCCTAAAGCATTTCCCACACTGACTGCACTTGTACGGCTTTTCTCCTGTGTGCGTCCGCTCATGCTGGCTTAGAGAGGAACTATTACTGAAAGCTTTCCCACACTCATTACATCCATAGGGCTTCTCTCCAGTGTGAATCCTCCGGTGCTGAGTGAGATGGGTGCTCTGCCTGAAGGCCTTCCCACAATCCTGACATTCATAGGGCTTTTCCCCAGTGTGTGTCCTTCCATGCTGGCTGAGTGATGCACTATGACTGAAGGATTTCCCACATTCGTTGCATCCATAGGGTTTTTCCTTGGTGTGAATCCTCTGGTGTTCTATGAGAAGGGTACTCTGGCTGAAGGCACTACCACACTCACTACATTCATAGGGCTTCTCTCCTGTGTGGACCCTCTGGTGCTGAATGAGGGGAGCAAGCTGGCTGAAAGCTCTGCCACACTCGTTGCATTCATAGGGCTTCTCCCCAGTATGGATTCGCTGATGTTTTATTAGAGATGAGCTGTGATTGAAGGCCTTGCCACAGTCACTGCATTCATAGGGCTTCTCCCCTGTGTGGATTCTCTGGTGTTGAGTGAGGTGGGTGCACTGCCTAAAGCACTTCCCACACTGTCTGCACTCATACGGCCTTTCGCCTGTGTGTGTCCGCTCATGCTGGCTTAGAGAGGAACTATGACTAAAAGCTTTCCCACACTCATTACATCCATAGGGCTTCTCTCCAGTGTGAATCCTCTGGTGCTCAGTCAGGAGTGTGCTTTGACTGAAGGCCTTCCCACAATCACCGCATTCATAGGGTTTTTCTCCTGTGTGGGTCCTCTGATGCTGAATCAGTGGTGTGATCTGAGCGAAGGCTTTCCCACACTGGTGGCACCCATACGGCTTCTCCCCAGTGTGGATTCGATGATGTTTGGTCAGGGATGAGCTATGGCTGAAGGCCTTGCCACACTCCCCACACAGATAGGGCTTCTCTCCAGTGTGGATTCGTAGATGTTGAGTGAGGTGGATACTTTGGCGAAAGGCCTTCCCACACTCACTGCACTCATAAGGTTTCTCACCTGTGTGAGTCCGTTCATGCTGGTTGAAGGAGGATCTGAAGCTGAAGAATTTCCCACATTCTCTGCACTCATACGGCTTCTCACCTGTGTGAGTTCTCTGGTGCTGGATTAGTGGTGCAATCTGGTTGAAGGTCCTTCCACACTGAGAACATTTATAAGGTTTCTCATCATTGTGGATTCTCTGGTGTTTGGTAAGTGCTGAACTGTTTCGGAAACATTTTCCACACTCATGACATTTATGAGGTCTTTCACCTGTGTGCATTCGGTGATGCTCAATGAGTGCTGAACTATGACTAAAGGCCTTTCCACAGTCCTGGCATTTGTAGAGCTTCTCTTTTGTATAGGTTTTTGGTTGAACATTTGAATCCAGCTTCTCTCTCTTTCCACGTGTTTCCCACATATGGCAGTCTTGTCTTTCAGGAGTCATTGGTTGAGCTGAGAGACCAGGGCTCAGACTCAAGTTTTCCCCAACGCTATTCCCTTCTTGCTTGTAAGTGGGCATCGTCACAGGAATGAAAACCATCTGCCCCACTCAGCTCTCACATCTGCATTCTCAGGACCTACACCATCCTCAGAGTACCAAACACCGTTCCCCAGTTTTTCCACCAGAAAAAAAAAAACTCTGTCTATTTCTCCAGGGATGCTTTGCTTTGGAGCCAAAAATCTTGTTTTGTCTGATTTTGAAATCTGAAAGAAAAAAATAGAAATGTCCTGTAAATGCTTTTCCAGGGGAAAAGAGTTTGTGGGATATGTGTGTGTGTGTGTGTGTGTGTGTGTGTGTGTGTGTGTGTGTGTGTTTTAAACTGATCCTTTTTTAAAAGTTTAAGGCACTAATTTAAAAATACAGCTTTTACCCTAGGTGGCACATGGTTGTCTTCCTAGTACTCAGGAGGCTGACACAACAGGATTGAGAATTTGAGGTCAGCCTGGGCTACATAGCAAGACCTGTTTCAAAACAATTATTTTATTTGCATGAGTATTTTGCCTGCATGTATGTTAGTGCACCCATGTTGTGCAATGGTCCTGGAAGCCAGAAGATGTTGTATCTCCTGAAACTGGAGTCATGGACAGTTGTTAGCTACCATGTAGGTGATGGGAACTGAACCAAAAATAGCCAGTGCTCCTAACTGCTAAGCCATCTCTCTTGCCCCCAAACAACAAGTTTTTAATATTTTGTAAACTGTAAAGAAACAGGATAATGGGCTGGTGAGATGGATCAGGAGGTAAAGATGCCTGCTGCCAAGTTTGAGTTTGATCCGTGAGACTCACATGTTGGAGGGAGAGAACTTACTTCTACAAGTTGTTCTCTGACCTCCACATATGAACCATGGTATATACATGCACACACAAAATAAATTTTCCTTAAAAAACTAGAAACAGGGCTGGAGAGATGGCTCAGCAGTTAAGAGCACAGCTGTTCTTGCAGAAGACCCAGGTTTGAGTCCCAGCACTCACATGGTGGCTAATAACCATCTGTATCTCCAGTTCCAGGGGATCAGATACCCTCTTCTGTCCTCCATGGGCACTGCATGACATGGATGCACTTACATGCAGGAAATACACTCACATACATAAAAAATAAAATAAGAAATAAATAACTTAGAAACAGGATGAGGAGGGGTGGTGGAGTTAGTAAAAGGGGTGTAGATGGAGTTTTCAAGGGGAACTCAGAGATGCTGGTTGTATACAGGACCCCACAGAGACAGTATTCATGGAAAACATCTACAAAGGAAAAGGAAAGCTCTGCTCAGACTTTACTAGCTAAGAGTCATGTGTTTTCTTTGAGGCATTTCACTATTGTGCCACCTCCCCTCTAGATCCCCAAACTGGATACAGTTGCAGTGTCCATCACTGGGAGGACAGATGAGTGACCTGTGGTGTATTAAAAATACTCTGACCTGGTTTACTTTGTCTTACCAACTGGGCTCCCTGGAGGGCTTCTGTCCTCTGGGCAACCACTGTTGACACTGTAGCCAGCTGGGGCTAGAGGGAGATACAGTCTCAATGCCCAACCCCGACCCCAAGAAAAAAAAGGAGCTTGGTAAATAAAATGAAGTGGTCAATTTTCTGCAAAGAACTAAAAAAAAAAAACAAAAACAAACAAACAAAAAAAACCCCATAAACAAAGTAACCTGGAAATGCAGGTGGATGGGTTCTTTCCAGCCTTGCAAGGCTCTTATCTCACCTGGGCATAAACTCTGAGCAACACAAGTCCACTGATCATAGCTCTGCCTTCTGTTCTAGGAGGGAGATGGTGAGGCCTAGGGAACCAAAGGGAGGCTCCTGGCACGAGCATTTGTATCCTAGGAACCTTCTGATCTCTGCCCATCCATCTGTAGTTTCCAGGTCCCAAGTTGCTGAGGCACTGAGTGACTGCAACTGTCATGTTAACCGCCCCTAATGTTCCTGAGACACTCCATGTCCACACTCTGTCCCTAACCCTATCCCTGCCTCCTCTCTTCTAGCTGGCAGCAATGACCACAGTGCAGATGACCTGGTAGCCCCAAACCAAGACAGCCCAGGGCTCTTTGACAGATGCTCTTTGACACATCTTTTCTGCTAGCCTACCCAAAAAAAGGTTCCAGGCAGACTCTGATCTGCGTTGTCATCTCTAAAAAGGTCCACCTGGAAACAGTAAAAGGTTGCTATCGTTTGAATGTTGAGTGCCCCCTAAAAAACATTTTTTTGTCTTTTTGAGATAGGGTCTCCCTATAGCCCCAGCTGACCTGCAACTCACCACACAGACCAGACTGGCCTCGACCTCACAGATATCCACCTATCTCTGCCTCCCAAGTGCTGGAATCAGGCATGTGCAACCATGCCTGGCCCAGCCTTCCCCCCCCCCCCAAATTCTTATTGGACCTAATGTCCAATGTGATGGTATTAAGGGATGGGGCAAGAGAATTAGTACCCTTACAAAAGGAGTCTCATAGGAGCTCCTCTGCCTTTCCTGTCATGTGATGACGTACCAAGTTGTCATCAGTGATGAAGGAGCCCTCACAAGACACTGGATCTGCTGGCCCCTTGCTCTTGGAATTCCCAGCCTCCAGAACTGCAATACATTTTGACTGTTTATAGGTTACTCTATTAAAAAAACAAAAAGATTTAAAAAACATTATGTGTATATGGGGTACATGTATTTGAGTGCAGCTGCCCAGAGAGGCCAGAAGACAGAGTTAAGATCCTTTGGAGATGGAGTTAACAGGTGGTTGTGAGCCACCTGCTATGGGCTGGGAACTGAACTCAGGTCCTCTTCAAGAGCAGTATGCTCTTTAAACTGTTATCACTGTACTTCATTACATCAGCCCAGATAGACTTAAGATGGAGGTGGAGAAAGTAAGGTGTCTTCTGAGAGCACAAAGGGAAGGACCTGGGTCTACCCTGGATTCTGCAATCTTCATGTTAGGTCTGTGACTTACTAATATCCTATTTGATATTTCCTACATTAAATAATCAAGTTCCTGAAGGCCAAGATATGTGGGCAGGTCATTAGGAATACGGATGTAGTTTTACCAACAGGAGACCAAGGGCCCAAAAGTCTGCAGTTTCACACTGTGGTACAGGGTCCACTGAGAAGGCTTGAGTTGCCCCAGTCCCTCTTGGGTGAAGTACACAACCATGTCCTCAAAGGTCGCTTGTTCCTGAAACCACACAAGTCCTCCGTTGAGCCCTCTGGCACTAGTTGCTGATGGGGCAGTTGGTGAATAGGAATACTATGCAGACTAGGTGTGGTACAGTTCTCTCCAGTCAGGTAGTCAAGGTAGGGTCTAGTGGTCTCTTAGAGTATGCATTCAGATCTCTTTCTCTCTCTCTCTCTCTCTCTCTCTCTCTCTCTCTCTCTCTGTCACAACCCTGCCTTTCAACAATTTAGATGAAGAAAAATCATTTAATATTTATTTTTGCTATTGGGTGTTGTGTATGTTGAGAAAGGGTCTCAGTATGTAGCCCTGACTGGCCTGGAACTTGTCATGTAGACCAGCTGGCCTCGAACCAACAGAGATCCGCCTGCCTCTGCCTCCGGAGTGCTGGGATTAAAGGTATGTGCCACCGTGGCTGGCCAAGCCAATCTATTTTTAGTTTTGTCTGTGGGGGGATATGTCCACATGTGTTCTGGTGTGGAGGGAGATCTGAGACATCGGGTCTCCCTTGAGTTGGGTTTACAGGTTGTGATGAGCCACCTGACCTGGGTGCTGGGAATCAGACTTGAATCCTATTCGAAAGCACACATACACATGCTCTTAAACCAGTGGGCCATCTCCTGAGCCCTAGAAAAATTTCTTGAAATAAAATGGTACTTGGGAGTCAACAATAAAGTGCTAAGGCATTATGGGCATTTTAGGGTCTACCAGAAACTTCTCTCCTGGAGGTACTCCCACAGCTGTGTGTGGGTAGAGGGGAAGGAAGCATCTGAAAAACAGTCAACCTGCATCCTTTAAAATTTTGGACATCCTTTACAAATTTTTTTATTATTATGTCAAGTGTGTGTATGTGCATGTACATGCAGGTGCCTGTAGATGCCAGAGGCATTGGATTTCCCTGGAGTTGGAGTTACAGGCAATTGAAAGCTACCCAACCTGGGTGCTGGGAACTGAACTCAGGTCCTCTAAAGAGCAGTCCATGCTCCTAATTGCAGAGCTATTTCTCCAGCCCCCACATTTGAACATCCTTATCTGAAGTGCTTAGACCAGAAATGTTTCAGATTTTGAGGAATTTGGAGTTTGGAATATTTGCCTAGATTTTGGCTAAAAAAGTTTGAAAATTTTAGATTTTCAGATTAGGGATGCTTTAACTTGCATATGTTTAATCTAATGAAACAAAGCCCTTGGGAGAGGGAGAGAGATTAAGACTTTTAAAGACATGTCTTGTGATAGGCTGAAGAAATGGCTTAGCGGTTAAGAGCACTGGCTGCTCTTGCAGAGGACCTAGGTTTGATTCCCAGTACCCAGATGGCAGCTAAGAACTTCCATAATTCCAGTTCCAGGGGATCTGATGCCATGGGCATTGCACGACAGAGGTGCACTTACATACATGCAGGCAATACATTCATACCCATAAAATAAAAAAACAAAATGTTTTAAAAAGTGATAGCTGGACCTGGTGGCACATGCCTTTAATCTCAGCACTTGGGAGACAGAGGCAGGTAGATTTCTGTGAGTTCAAGGCCAGTCTGGTCTACATAGCGAGTTCCAGGTATAGGGAGACCTGTCTCAAAAAAGACAAAAAACAAAAAGACCCCCAAGAAAGTCTTGTGATGAGGATGCTAAGCAATTAATCAATACACAGAATGCAGGTCCTGCCTTCAGTTTGTGTTAGTTTTGTTTTGTTTTTGACAGAGTGGCACTCTGTATCTTAGGCTGACTTGGAACTCACTGTGTAGGCCAGGCTGAGCTCAAACTGGATAATCCTGCTGCAGCCTACTTAGTGTTGAGATTGTGGGCATGTACCACCACATCTGGTTTCCACCTGTGGTAGTTATCTACGGCTGCATAATAAATTACCCCAAAGATCACCACTTTTAAAGCAGCTTCATTTATCTTAGTTCTTAGGTCAGAACTTAAACATACTGAGGTTCACAGGGATAAAATCAAGATGTCAAAGAGGTTGAGCTCTTATCTGAAGACTCTGGAGAAAACCCTACTTCCAGCAGGACCTCAAGGGTCTGTCTCCTAGTCTTTAATTTCATATAATTAATTAATTAATTTTTTGGTTAGTTTTGAGACAGGGTCTTTCTGTAGCCCCAGCTGCCCTGGAACTCACAGAGGTCTGCCTGCCTTTGCCTCCCGGGTGCTGGAACTAAAGGCATGTGCCACCAGGCCCAGCTAATTTTATATATTTAAATAGTGGGTAACAACATAATTTTCAGAGAAGGGCTGGGCAGGTAGAACATGGGCATTTTCCATAATTATTACTCTTCTTATCTGAATGCTTTCTGTTTTGTTTTTGTTTTGGAGGGTTGACTTTTGACATACGGTACATGTGAGAGGCTGGTCTCCGCTAAGCTCATGGGCAGAATTAATGCCACTATCAAAGGGCAAGTTCCACCTCCTTTGACTCTATGATCTTTGCCTACAAGTCTTCCTCTCCCACTGCCCATTCAGGGTTCCAGGTTGGGATCAAAACTGTCAAACCTGTGAGCCCCTTGGGTTTCCTACCTCCAGAACTGTGAGTTAATTAATTATAAATCCCCCAGCCTCAAATACGCTGTTACAGGTGAGGAGGTGTCTATGCAAACTGGATGTTGAGATGGAACTGGCTAAAGAGTGTTCCTGGTTAGAAGCAGCCTTTAGTAACCCCAGGCAGGGCACTTATGAGCCCTGGAGGACACCACTGTGTGGATGGTGGCATACTTACTTGGGAACCCAGTAAACCATTCATTGCTTTCTAGTCTCTTATGAGAACATCTAGTTCCCATTCTGGGGGGTGGAGGTGGTGACATGAGAGGCTAGGTTTGCTCTGTAGATAAAAGCCTGTTGACTTTGAGATACTGGAACCCAAGATCTGGGCAAAACACAAGTTTCCCAAATGCTTACTATGTGTCTCATGCTGTTCCAGGTGTTGCAGGTTCTAGTGAGTGTGATGTCACATTTCCGGATACCATTCCACAGACAGGGAAACTGAGGAACAGGGTGGGCACGACCTCTAGTTGTGCATGTGATTTATAGATTCTATTACTGACAGGAAGTCAGATCGCTCTGGGGTCCCCAGGTGCTGTTTTCGTGTGCCTCAGTTTCCCCCATCCATAAAAAATGCTTTGTGCCAAATACATATTTCAGTTGTGTGTGTGTGTGTGTGTGTGTGTGTGTGTGTGTGTGTGTGTGTGCGGGCGTACCTGCCCGCAAAGGGGCCTCAGTTCCCTCCCCTGCCCCGCGCGTCATGACCTGTATGCTTAGGTACCTGCCCACATAAGGGCCTCAGTTCCCTCCCCTACCCCGCGCGCCATGACCTGTATGCTTAGGTACCTGCCCGCAAAAGGGCCTCAGTTCCCTCCCCTGCCCCGCGCGCCCTGACCTGTATGCTTAGGTACCTGTCCGCAAAGGGGCCTCGGTTCCCTCCCCTGCCCCGCGCGCCCTGACCTATATGCTTAGGTTCCTGCCCGCATAAGGGCCTCAGTTCCCTCCCCTGCCCAGCGCGCCACGACCTGTATGCTTAGGTACCTGCCCGCAAAAGGGCCTCAGTTCCCTCCCCTGCCCCGCGCGCCCTGACCTGTATGCTTAGGTACCTGTCCGCAAAGGGGCCTCGGTTCCCTCCCCTGCCCCGCGCGCCCTGACCTGTATGCTTAGGTTCCTGCCCGCATAAGGGCCTCAGTTCCCTCCCCTGCCCAGCGCGCCACGACCTGTATGCTTAGGTACCTGTCCGCATAAGGGCCTCAGTTCCCTTCCCAGCCCCGTGCGCCATTACGCTTAGGTACCTGCCCGCATAGGGGCCTCAGTTCCCTCCCCTGCCCAGCGCTGCCCGCCTACCAGCTCCCCACCACCCCCCAACCCACCGCCCTACACCCCACTTACCCACTGAATCCCACCACAAAGGCCACGGCTACCAGCTGCTTGTCCGCCGGCGCGCTGGACTACACCTCCCAGAGGCCTGTGCATTCACTTCCGGTCTCTCATGGTCTTCTCGACCCTCGAGCAGCGGAAGCAAGGCTCGGAGTCCGAACGTGGCTTTCCAAGCCCTACCTCACACAAACTTGGCTCCTCAGCTCACCAACCGGCCACAGCGGCCGGGGCTGCGGGTGCGCAGCTAGACTCAGAACTGCAACTCCCGGAAGGCTGCGCGCAGGCTTCGTTCTCTCTGTGCTCGCTTCGCCTCCTCACTCCCGCTTGGATTCTGGTGGTAAAAGATGGCCTCCCGCCAGTCTGTGCCTCCCGAAACTACAATTCCCAGAGGGCCGCGCGCGGGCTTCTCATTCAAAGATGATATGCCCTCATAGATTGAATGGACATGTTCTGAAAATTCACCCCAACACCAGGCTCTTGGCCCGTGGTGCAGCAGCAAAGCGTAGAATAGATGTGAACGCAAAGCCCTCAAAAATAATGCAGCCAAGGAAAAGAGTAGACAAAGACTTATTATCTGTTGCAGGTAAATATAGTCAGGTTTTTTGGGGGGAGGGCGTGGGGGGAGAAGAGTCACGACCGAGACAGCTCCACACTGCCATGCTCAGTAGCCCGAGTTCCCCGATTTTTAAAAAATTATTTTTATTATTTTTATTTTTTATGTGTGTGCATGTATTGCCTGCATGTAGGTAAGTGCACCTGTGTCGTGCAATGCTCGCGGAGGACAGAAGAGGCTGTCAGATCCCCTGGAACTGGAGTTAGGGACAGTTGTTAGAGAGACTAGCCTCCCAAGTGCCACGCCTGGTGGCACCCAATTAATTCTTAGCATTAGCCATATGTACCATTTTTGTGGCTCTCAAGTTACATCTCAAAAGTTTGCTAAGTAATCATTTTTTTCCCCTTTCTGTCTTTTGATGAGAAAGATAAGTGCCTTGGATGGAATCCTAATCTGATAAGGTAAAACCAGACTCCACTAGGGTTTCAAAAGGAATTTATCATTTACCTGTAAAGGGTGTTTCTGGTGAGATTCCTAGGAAATTGCTAGTTTTAAATTTGAGAGAAAGACCTTAAGCAGTTGTTGATTGGGCTAGAATTTTTCCTTTTCTGCTGGAAAAATACTTCAACCAGAGTCTGCAGTGAGGGGCTCCTTGCCTTTTCATATCCTCAAGATTTTCTGTGCTTTTCTGTACTGTCTCAGTATAGACAAGCACGCCAGGAGTGGGCGCATTCCTGAGTGTGCTTAAAGTTCAAGTTCAAGAAGGACGGGTGGGGACTAGAAAGATGCCTCACAAGAGCCAGGGCTGGAGTGATGGCTCAGTGGTTAAGAGCACTGACACTTGCAAAGGACCTAGGTTCGAATCCCAGCACCCACACGGCAGCTAACAGCCCTCCATAGCTGCAGTTCTAGGGGACTCCAATGCCTTCTTCTGACCTCTGTGGGCATTGCACAATATGGGTGCATTACGCACATGTAGCAATACACTCATAGGCATAAAAATAAATAGGTCAGGCGTGGTGGCACACGCCTTTAGTCACCAGCACTCGTGGTGGCACACGCCTTTAGTCCCAGGCAGATATCTGTGAGTTCAAGGCCAGCCTGGTTTACATAGTGAGTTCCAGGACAGCGGGGGCTACAGGGAGACCCTGTCTCAAAAAGACAAAAAAAAAATAAATAAAAAGTATTTTAAAAAGAAGTTAAGAGTTCTTGCTGCTTTTGCAGAAGACCAGAGTTCAGTTCCCAGCACCCACATCAGGCCACTTACAACCACCTGTAACTCCCACTCCAGGGGATCCGAAGTTCTCCTCTCCATGGATACCTGCACACATGTACACACACACACACACACACACACACACACACACACCTTAAAAAGAAGGGATGATGGGCACATTTTTGTTAGCATTTACTCAAGGTCATGGAGCACATGTTGGGAAGGCTAAAATGGCAAACAGGAATATTTTTGGATATGTTAAACTTGTCTTAAAGATGCCTGTCCTGACACCTTCCAGGCATGCTCATCTTTCTCCAAAAAGTTTTGGCTGAGAAAAGGAAAGAACACTTTGAAGATGTATTAATGTAGGACTTGCCCCTAATGGTGCCCACCTCACTTAGTGGCTAACTAACATCACCATTTTCCAGTTCAGGGTAGACTAACTTCCATCAATACACATCAAGCATCCATGGAACAGTGAACGGAGAGGATCTAAGCAAGCTGAGGCTGGGTCATGATTTCGCTCTTTCAAGAGAGGATAGACCGGGGACTGGGGAGATAGCGCAGTGGTTAAAGCTTCTGCTGGAAAGCATGAGGACTGAGTTTGGGTCTCCAGAAACCATGTAAATGCCAGCGAGGCATGGTGGCCTACCTGTAATTTCAGCTTCACAAGGCAGAGAAGGGATCCCCAGAGCAAGCTGGCAACTAAGACTAGATATACTGGTGAGTTCTGGATTTGTTGAGAGACCCTGCCTCAGTGAATAAGGTGGAGGATGATTCCTGATGTCAACTTCCGGCCTCCATATAAACATATGCAAGTTGAGGTATGTGCTTCCCATGGGAAAGCAGGGTCCCACAACATATGCCCATAACACATGCCAAAACATGCCTATATACAAGCATATCACATACACAGAGTGAGGGGGGATAGACTGGCTTATTTTGAAGCTGAGAAAAAGTTTCAAGACAGGGTCATTTTCTAACAGTTACATGACATACGTACATGAAAATATAATTAAGTCCATTATTTCAAACATTAATTAAAGGAGACTTTTAATTTACATTTTAAAAAGACATTTCATTTTATTCTGGAACTTTCTTTCACTAAAGCAACCCTGAAAACAGCAAAAATGGTAAGAATTGTCCTGTGAGGGAAAAGCAAAAATCTTCCTACGTACATTTTTTTCACATACACAAATGTCTGAAGAGATTTGACTGGGTCACACTTAGTCTAAGGATTTCATGAGCCCTAAAACAGTGTGATTATTGAAAGGTGGTGGCTATTGATTATACGGCATTGGTGTAAAGAGAGCAAAGATAATTTTATTGACTTTTCCTTAAAAGGAAAAGTCCTGTGCCTTCAAGGAAGAGGGGAAAAAACATGTTCGTCAGATTCTTAAGGGTCTTGACCAGCAGGAGAACAGCAGGGCAGTGACCTGGTTGCATCCTCCAGAGTTGCAGTTGTTCCTGGTTGGCTCTAACCTGCCTTCACCTGTCTGTGTGATTATCAACAGTTGAATGAAAACCCAGCAGCAAGCTGGGCGCAGATGTTTGCACCTGTTGTAGCAGGTTCTCCTGGAGGCTGAGGCAGGAGGATTGGTTGAGCTCAGGAGTTTGGGGTCAGTCTGGTGACATATTGAGTCCATCTTTCGAAAAATAAAACAAAAACATAGAGACAGAACCTGCCACAAGTGATACAGGAAAAGCTGGGTTCCTAGGATATGGTTTCTGAAATATGAGGAAGTTACTCTTTGAGTCACTTGGCAAAGCACAAACATTTGAAAAGACCTCTTGAAGCAGAAGTTATATGCTCAGAAGCAATCATGACTAGAGCAATCTTTGTAGCTGGAGTAGAGTTTCCCCAAGCATCTGTGAAGTGTTTAAGTGGCCAGTTGTCATTATGACAGTCCTACTGATCTTCAAAGAAAAGACTGCTCAACTGGCAGGTGATTCCCGACTCAAGGCAGATGGATGGGGCATAGAATCTAAAACCTATCAATCAAATGGGGGCGAGAATGGAGGAAATCAGCCGTGATAGTTACAATCATCCAAAAGGGAACTGAACCTGGGTCCTCGGTAGAGCAGCAAGTGCTCTTAAGAGTTGAGCCTTCTCTCCTGCTCCAAGGTGGTGATCAATTTAGTAACATTCCCTTTTTTGCCCTGCTTGGCTCTCAGGGCTGTGGAGGTTTCTACCACATTGGTTGAGGGCTGTGGCACAGGGGCTCCCCCAAGCAGGGTACGTTGCTTTCCAATAACTCTAAGGCTCTTTTAAACTGAGGATCTAAAAACATCTGATCATAACAGTTGGAGCCACCTAGGGATGAAAGGCTCCGCCTGACCCCAATGCACTAGGCAATGCTCACAGGCAATGAATGACTTGTTCCTTCTCTCCAGCCTCCTTTCTCTGGGATTCGGCTAGCTGTGACATTGACAACCCCCCTCTTGCCCTCCCACTGCTCCTGCAGTGCCTGAACTCCCTCTCCTCTCCCCATCCCACATCACCACAGCTGGCCCTTCCCATCCACATTTATAGCTTTCAAGTTCCAGTTTCTGCATGTTCACTTTTTCTTTGAGACAGGTTCCCCTATATGGACCAGGTCAGCCCTGATCTGGTGATCCTCCTGCCTCAGGCTCTCAAATTCTGGGATTACAGATATGCATCACCACACCATGCTCAGTTGGCCAGTTTTACTGAGGAGATAGTAGTTCTGTGGGCTGGGCCTGGAAGAGGTGATGCAATAATCCCAGTACCCAGGAGGTGGAGGTAGGAGAATTAAGAGTATAAGATCATCCTCAGCTACATAGTGAATTTGAGGCCAGCAAGCAGGGAGAAGGAGGAGGTGGAGGGGGAACAGGAAGGGGAAATTTTTTTTTGGTCTTTTTGAGACAGGGTCTCCCTGTAGCCCCAGCTGTTCTGGAACTCACTATGTAGACCAGGCTGGCCTCTAACTCACAGAGATCTGCCTGCCTCTGCCTCCTGAGTGTTGGGATTAAAGGTGTGCGCCAGCATACCCCGCCCAGGGAAAATGTTTTAAGCACAGATGTAGGCTATGGCAACTAGAGGTTTTCCCAGATAACCTTGGAAGCTGTGTAGGGCACTCACTCTCTAAAAGGAAAAACTTGGTTCTCTTCTAAGATGACTGTTGCACTGACTCTCACTTTCTTGCTGATGTGTCTATATGAGATTCTCCAGAAGGTTGCAGCTCCTGCTGGAGTCTGTGAATGAACCGAAGGCTACATCTTGTGAGTAAAGCAATCAGGAACCTGTTCAGTAGCAGCAGCTACAGTTACATATACTCAAGACTCGGTGCAAGCTCAGTGTGGTGGCTTGTATGTCTGTAATTCCAGCACTTGGCAGGTGGGGGCAGGAGAATAAGCAATCCAAGGGCATCCTTGGTTACATAGCAAGTTAGAGACCAATCTGAGCTACATTAAAACTGTGTACAGTAAGAATTAACAACATACTCAGGCAGTAGACTCCCGTCTCCCTCAGTCCCCTTCCCGGCCAGTATTCATGTCCAAAAGGAGGAGATGCAGGATCCCTTTCCGTCTCTCTGAC